AATGTTCTCTTTCAAATCTAAAACTTAAAATATTTAAAATCGTGGATATTTCAATCTAATATTGGTTTTATCAATACTGCTCGCATAATAAATTAGGCGTATTTTAATTAAATATTATTTGAATACAACTAAAGATAATTTTTTTATTTATAGATTTATTTGAAATATATCACTAACACGAAAATATAGAAACTGTATTATTAATAATAGACTTTTTTTAAATACTTCACAATAATTATACACAGTTACAATAATTAATTTTAATAATTTATTGTAATTTAATTATTTCTTTATCTTCAGCATATGCTAATTATGGTTTATGTAAAAAAGTTTTTAATATTGTCCTGCGATTAACTTTCTCGACAAATATAATGATTTTTAATATTTATCATACCCAATTACAACATGATTTAGGAACGTGACGTGCTAAACATCCATCATAACGTTCTGTCATAACTTGTAGCAAACACTTTTGAACTCAATAGACGTCATGATGACTTGACGACAAAAGCGCTATGAAATCTCCGTTAGAAGTTTTATTAAACGTATATTTATATCGTCAAAATGCTACAGTTTTTATATTTACGGAATAATAACGGTTATTAAACGACAGCAGCATTTTTAATATGCAATATCACGTTTATATAATTTAATGTGGATACTTACAGTATTGTAAATTAATATGTGCTAATATTATTAAAAGTAATCGGAATGTTATTATTGGTAATCATCGGCTTAAAATACGAACCGAATAAATAATGTTGACCGACTAATATGAACGATTTGATGGCGTTATTTAGACACACAAGGTATATGATTGTGTAAATATTAAATATTAATATACTCGTAATTTGGCCGGCTTCTTCAATTGTATAGCTCATATATATAGTTTTACGATAACTAAATATACAGTACCATAAAACGTTGTGACATATAATTGTTACATTATATTTGTTGATTATACGTTTTTTATTTATAGTAATATACCAACCATTAAATAGTTCAATTTTTATTGAGGAAAAAATATGGATTATTTAATTTTTGAAGCGTTGAAAATTCTAGACATAGTGGCCTACATACAAATATGTGCATGTTAAAAAAAAATGTAAATGACGCCTCTATAATGTTTGTTTGTTGACCTATAATAATATTATACACGTATTATAATTTATAAGAAATAGTATAAAAAAATAATAAAATAATAAGTAAGTATAAGTAAAATAAGTAGGGATGAGAAGTTTTAGAAATTGCATATTTTTGTCCACTACTTCTATTTATAACTAAGAGAGATTTTATTTTGTAAATGATTGAGACCAATTTGAATTATTTTAAAAGGTTTATCGTTATACAGCATTTAAAAATAATCAAACATGAGCGATTGGTCAACAAAATTCAAATTCAAAAACTACAGTTGTGCACTATGCATATATTTTGGTATATTTTCGCTTTTTTGTATTTTTATCCTTCATGCACTTCTCAGCAATTCTGTCGATTCTAATCTCTTATCTCAAGTTCTATTCAAAGTTCCCTCCCATAATGTAATCATACACCTTTTTATATTCCAACTCATTCCACTTCCTTCAGTCACAATCACCTCATGCACAGAATGATGAGGTCTGCCAATATAGTTTGATCTTCGCCCATTAAGTATCTATTGTATATTACTTTATATACAATCGTCCCTTTATTTCTAACTTATCTTATATTTTATTATCTACTTACTCTCTCTCTGTAAAAACCGGTTGACGAATAAATTGTAAAAAATAAATTAATAAATATTCGCATAGATATTTTGCCAATTTGACAATCTTACATTCTTAGTTAATTTTAACTTCTCTTCTCTAATTATAATATATAATTATAATAATGTTTAAATATTAAAAATTATATATTTATAAGTAAGTATGTGTTACATTTTCCTACTATGGTAACATTTATATTATTTATGTAGTCATGATAATGTATGTACAAACGAACATTCGTCGAAAAACATTTAATGGATTGAAAACTATAGTAGCAAAATCTTACGTTTATGGATAGGGCTCGGGACTTCTAGAAACTTGCATGTTTTTAAATAATTATCAAAAATATAGCTAAGTAATATATAAATTTGTTTCAAAGCAATACAAGTTTATATTTAAAATTTATAGTTGCATATTTTGCATATTTGACCATTTTTCATTTTATAAATGCATATTTGACAATTATTCATATGAAGGAGTAAGTTTTTAAATTTTATAAAAAAAAATTATGATTTATTTCTTCATATATCACGTGACTTGGACATCAAAGTGTATTATTGGTGCACTAATTGAATGCATTAAAATAATTAAAACTATAAAAAACGTATACATTCTGCAAAAATTGAAGAATCTGCACAAGCTAAGGCTAACTACAAAAATTTTCGAACATTTTAAATAGAAAAATGAATCTATGGATAGATTGCCTGCAGATATTAGTAGTAGTGACCTACGATTTTGTAAGTTTGCACCAATAAGTTCTGTAGACGTGTAACGTTCCTTTTCTAAATATAAAATTATTTTGGCTGATAACAGGCAGTCATTTAAATTTTCCAACTTAAGAAAATATCTTATAGTCCAATAAAATGCTCAAGGTTAGAAGAATTATAACTATATTAAAAATAAAAAAAATGTTTTTAATTTATTTTTAAAACTATTTTAAGTATTTTGTTTTAGATAAAAACTCAATGTAAGATGAAAAAAAATTTGAAAAAAAGAAAAAATTATCTCAGATCATCATATCTATCATATATAAAAATATTATTAAATTTATTACTAATTAAATTTTTTTATTTAATTAATTATTACAAATATAATTTTTTTAAATACATATTTTAATAGCATATTTATTGATTCTTTAGGGCATAAATGCATACATATTTTAAGGTTTTTAAGGGCATGAAGTCCCTAGCCCTATTTATGGACTTTATCACAAACGTACGACGAGTTTTCATAACACTGGCGCTACCTAGGATTTACACTACACATGAGAAATAAACCACTACACAAAAAAAAATTCTAATAATGTAATGAAGACAATTTATGGAACTACATTACGTTTGAATACCTAATTAATAACACAACATTATTTCATACGAGATAACAGAACTTTCCGTATCCACACACCATTGAATAAGGCTCTCGATTATAGAAAACCGTTGTTTTGGTGTAGATTAATTAATAAAAATAATGATAAAAAAGATAATTCTTTGAAAAATAATGAGATTATACTCAAAAACCAAAGCTATATTCTTATTTGTCTGAAAAGAACTAATACAATAATTGTAATTATTAAATGCAATATTTATTTAAAAACTAATTATTAAACATCATCATTGGCGCAATTTTCATTTTTTACCTAGGGTGGAAGGGCTAGAAAATGTATACCAAACAGACCCGAAGGGAACTTCATTATTCCCTTAATAAACCCTACTTTCATCATCATACAAAATATTTAGGTCACAAAATACATATTTTACCTTAGATCTTATCTTAAATTTCAACAGGAGGATGTATAAATATATTTTCAACAATACACATATTTTAGAATGTAATATATATTAATGAATTAAAATAAATACAACTGTATATTATTTACGACACATATAGTAGCGTACATACGAGGAGAGGAGGGTTCGGATTCAAACTTTCCCCTCCCAAAGGCCAAGAGAAAAAAAATCGTGATATTATTGATAACGTGTAATATATTCGTAGTTTCATTGTTACGCTTTGAACTTAAAATATACAACTATACAAATATTATATTAATAAAACAATTATATTGATAGGTATTTGAAAAGTTTTGTTAACTATGCTGTTTTTATATTTCTATAGCTACTAATTTACTGTAATGTAAAATTAAACTGTAAATTGTTAAAAAAAAGTTGTATAAAATATGTATTTATTTAAAGCAGTTATCTGTGCAACGAAAAAAAAATATAAATATCGAATATTTTGTTATATTAACCTCCCCCAGAGAAATATTGAATGTATGCCACTGGACACATGAACTTACACTGTTATTGTTGTATTATTTAATATGGCAAATTATGCCAATGTCTAAATTATGCCGTGGGTTCCACGCGGCATGGGCGGATTTGAAATAATACTACACCGGTTGCGGGGAATAGATTTTATTTCGATACGCGGAAATCATTTAATGGCAATGCATTCACGTTTTATTTTATACACACATTGATTATAACTACTGTAAATGTAAAATGCACAAATACCTGTACGATACCTACATAGAGTCCAACGCCCTTTTATTAAGTCGATGACATGTATCTATACGCGTAAGTACGTCAGGCAGTGGCGTACATTCAATCTTGTTCTGGGAGAGGTTTAACAAAAATAATCGCTTTCTTTTTTTTTTCGTTGCACAGATTAATAAGACAAATAACTGCTATAAATTATTTTATACAACTTTTTTACCAATTTACAGTTTACTTTTACATTACAGTTAATTAATAGCTATTGGAATATAAAAACAGAATAGTTAACAAAACTTTTCAAACACCTATCAATATAATTATTTAATTATCATAATATTTGTATAGTTGTATATTTTAAGTCCAAAGCGTAGTAATGAAACTACGAATATATTACACGTCATAAATAATAAAACAATTTTTTTTTTTTTTGACCCTGGGGAGATTTGAACACGGACCCCCCCCCCCCCCGTATGTACACCACTGACGTCAGGCATTCCTCGCTGCCTGTGCACTGTTGTAGTTCGTACGATATTATTATTTTTTAATATATAATTATATAATTATTATATGTTATTGGAACGGATTACCATACAGTAATCCGTTCCAATTAAGTATTTCATTATTAGGTAAAAAAAAAAAAAAAACCGTAAATATATCTATTTCTGTATCAGATAACACTTAGTATGTACTTTTGAACACATACTTGACCGAATCGCCTGCGCGGCACTCATCTCATGTCCACGCCGTACATTTTATTCAGTACAATGTTTAAGCACTCATGCTACAGACGTGAAATTCCGTCAAATACGATCACGTAATATACCTACTCATTATAATTTTATAGTTATTTTACTTATTTATTTTATTTCAGCATTATTCAAATCATACCATATTCGTATACTAACTTAATTACTTATAATGGATGTTCATAAAAAATACGTATCAACTTAGTACCTAATACCAGGCGCATACACAAAAAAATATTTTGGGAGGGGTTTTAGGTTGTACATTTTCATAATAATATGATCTATATACCAATTTTACTATATAAAAACATATTTAATATCATTTTCCTGAATTTCGGGAGGGGTTTCAATCCCTAAAATCCCCCCTTGTGTACGCGCCTGCCTAGCACTTATACCTAGCATTCAATGATAATAATAATAATAATAATAATCGTAATTTCTTGTTCAATTTTCTTTATTTCTATTCTCAGCAAACTTTATTGTAAGGATTTTTTCCAACTGTACAAACAAAATATACATTACAAGGGGGCTTCGCCCCACACCCTACACGCTGATTTCATTGATTCTGATGAAGCAGGTAATAAGTCCAAAGACGTGGAAGTAGCCAACTTTAGTTTCACTAACCCACTGTTCAAACAATTCATCATGTTTATCATTTATTTATTTTTATTGATATTTCATGAATGGTCAAATCGTCTTTTATAATACTCAATAATCAAGTAATAATCAAATGCGTATTTTCGTTAAATCTACAGCATATTTTATTGTTCCTAATGCACAATTAGTGTCCTACTGCACCTTGCAATAAAGCCTGATTCTCAGTAGATAGTTTTGATTTTTTTCAGACACTCGACGTTTAAAATTAGTGGGAGCACAAAATACGAGTGCTTGTAAACAATTGATGTGACGAAAAAAAGATAATTTAATCAAGTAAACGATTATACATACGTGTCAGACTGTATTGTTTTGTAGTCACGAAGAGAATAATATACTAGTGTTTCGCAATCTGCATAAGTTAGCTGACATGATCGTTTTTTCGTTGATTGCCGCCGCTTTCATGAACGGTAACATATTATATATTATATCATACTAAAGTACTAATAATAGTAATACAAATAATAATTAATCATTTTTCGTAAAAATTCCAATTTATAGATTTAAATAGTTAGAGTGTGCCTACACGGAAAAAACAAAACAGTTCAACCCACTATTAAAATAGTAGATTTAATAGTATTTTATAATTTCTATAGGGATAGCTATAATATTACTGAGATTTACTATAATGTTTTAGTTAAGTTATTATAGTCATTGTTACTAGAAAATAAAGTAATTTTTACTAAAATTTTATAGTTCACTGTATATTTTTATTTGGTTGTCCAAACAGTATTTATAGTAGTACACACTAAAATTTCTAATAGTTAGAACTAGAAGGTTTAGTTCATATCACTGTAGCAGAAATTTAATTTACTATAATAAACAGTTTATTGAGCTATAACTTGTAATAACCACTACTATAAAATTAAGTATTCGTAACCAAATTTTATACTTAATTATTTTATATATTTAGCAGTACCTTCTGTCATATATAGTAATTTTTACTATAAAATTACAATATTATATTCATTCAAATTGTACCTAATATAGTTGCTATTTTTTTGACTAGTACATGATTTAACCTATAAAATTTAAAAGAACATTGTTAAATATAGTAACCAAATATAATTTCGTTTTTGTAAATACAATTTATTTTTTTATTTTCATTTGTGTAACAAATTTATTGGTTATTTGGTGACTAATTAATATAACAACATATCAAAGATTTTGTATATAGTTATTATTCCAAAAACAAATAACAATAGGACATATCATAGATTAAATATACAATATATTATATTATATGGACATATATACTTTTTTTCAAATGAGAATTCAGCGTGGGTGGTGAACACAAATCTGGTCGAGCCCGTGCATGTCATATAACAAATTTAATAATAATTAATTGTAAGTGATGGAGTATTTAATTGTTCCAAGTTTCATCTTGGTGCCTTGCCATGTGCGACGTGTTGCATTCTCATTAAACAAATAGTATAGATTTTTTTACAATAAATAATATAAAAAAAAAAAAATGTATAAAATTAATATTTAATATAATTATGACAGTTTTTTAATGATATTGTTTTTAAATATCATACTAGTAATTACATTGTGTAGTCTTAGCGACAAAAATATAAGTAACATAAATATAATATAGGTAGTATAATTGTAGGTGCTTAAATCGACACGGCATCCATGCCGACATCCAGTGGCGTTTCCTGACTTTCGGCGTCAGGCGTTAATGTGTGATTGATTAGGACCCCCCCCCCCCTTATGAAAAATAAATTCTTATCAAATATCAACATATTATTATTAAAGTTATTTATTTTACATACTTTTTAAGTTTTTAAAAATACATAAAATATTTATAAAATTAAATTATTATACAAACTGAAAAATGTTTTAATAAATATATTCTATTATAGATTGATTTTTATTTGAATTCAAATTCTATTTTTCTCTCTTTCTCAGTAAATTTGTTTATAACATCTTCATAAAATTTATTTCTGTTTGCTCTTAATTTGAAAACCAATTCTTTTTCTATTGATATTACACTTAAGCTGTTCATTCTTCCTTGTGTTTAAGTTGAGCGACAATATGTATTGATTCTTTTTAAAGATGAAAATGATCTCTCCACTGAAGCGGTTGATGATGGTATAGTAGATGTTAATTGAGCCAACTTATACACCTCGGAAAATCCACTATTTAAGCTCATTTCAGAAAGATAATTCATAATTTCAATAGGGCTTTTATCGAATGATTCGTTTAAGGTGTACCATACATAAAGTTCATTTTGTAGTTTACCATAGTTGAAAAAATCGCTATAAATATCTTATAGATTTTTAATTAAATTAGATGGAAAATTATCTTTTTTCGCAAAACATTTAATTTTCGTAGGATTAAGTAAATTAAAATATTACAATTTTTCAAACGATTTAAAACGGATATTAATTTGAGATTGTATATTGTCAATAATTTCAAAGTAAAGACGTCTATAATAATCTTTCCTGTCGGTTTCTATTTATCTAACCCTGCGATTGCTTAAAAAAAGTTCGTTAGCATTTTCAGTAAATGATGCCCATAAAATATCAAAATTTTCCCTTTCTTGGTATAATTGGTTTTGAAAATCAAGTATTTTTTGACTACAAAATAAAATATCAAAATTTTTTGACTGTAAAATATTGAACAATACGTCAGTAAAAATAAGAAGATTAGATAATATTTGTATAATAAAAATGTTTTTATTTTCTTGAAGGAAATTTTCAAATACTTTTGCTGTCATTCCAGTAACATTATCAAAATCACCACTTTCATAAACAAACATAAAAAAATCTACTGATGATGTTTGATGATTATGAACTGTATGAACTAATCGTGAAGTAAAGTTCCAACGAGTAGTAGCTAATGTGGGTAACTTTTTGGTCATAAATTCTGAAAGTGTTTTTAGTCTTTTAGGAGAATGAGAAAAAAATACAGGTAAAGAGTTAAGACCTTGAAAAAAAATTTTAAGTTCCTTATTGCATTCTAATGATTGTTGAAGTATTAAATTAATAACATGCGCATAACAATGAGTAAATATAGCTTTAGGATATTTCTCTAATACTTTACTTTGCAACCCGTTTAAATGGCCAGACATTACGGCTGCCCCGTCATATGTTTGTGCCACTAATTTGTTTTCAATTTTAAATTTTTCAACTACTTGATTAACGTGTTTAAATAAAGAGGTTGCTGTTTTGTCAGCACTCATGTCATCAAATCCAAGAAAACGTTCAACAATTTTGTTTTCGTTTTTTGAAAAATATCTCAGTACTGTCGATAGTTGTGATTTATTACTAATATCAGTTGTTTCATCAAGCATAATTGCCACGTATTGTGTATTTTGAATTTCATTGAATATCTCATGTTTATTAACATCAGCAATTTAATTTATTAAATCATTTTGTATGGAAACAGAAGTACCTCGAAAAATAGTAGATGTATCTAAATGCTCTTGTAATAATGGATCAAATTCTTGGGTGGAAATCAATAATTCCATATAGTTTCCCCTATTTACTGAATATTTGTTTTCATTATGTCC